GGGTTAGGGGTTTGGGGTTAGGGGTTAGGGGCATACAACGGCCCTTCTCAGGGATTCCCCGCTTACCTTCACCTTCGGATCCCTGACATCTCAGAAAGGTGAGCTCTGAAGCAGATGAATACTAAGACCCTAAACCCTAAACCCTATAGAGCCCTAGTTTGTAAGATTTTGAGCGGGCTTGGACCCTATAAACCCTACACCCTATAGAGCCCTAGTTTTTAAGATTTTGAGCGGGCTTGGACCCTATAAACCCTACGCCCTTTTGAGCAGGGTTGGCCGGTTGCGGTTGAGTTCCCGGCTATGCGTGGCATCGGGGCTACGATTCAGGAAGACGCTGGTCATCCCAGAGGAGGAGATGAGGTGAGAGTTGTTTGACCGCCTCAGTTTGGTGAGTATGCCTTGGGCAACGGACCCCAAGGGTCCCAGTGCGCACTTGGGGTCCAAAGTTGTTATTATATAGCAACTCTGGGTTCAAAGTTTATACTAGCTTGAGGGTTCAGGGTTTAGGAGTTTTGTACCGGTTTAGGGACTTGGACCCTTGAGGGAAGGCACAGGGGGCGGAAGCTTGACCACAACGGATACGTTTGTATATCTGCCCTCAGTTAGTTTCCTCAGCAATTTGGATCTTCAGAGTGACGCTTGATCCTCGCAACGCAGTACTACATATATAGAAGCCTAAATAATTACCGGTCCTATTCCTTAGGGCTCCTTATTGTAAGCATCCCATGATGGAACCCAAAGCCCTAATGGAGCCCAAAACCCTATTCGAATTATTTTGGCCCCTACAGTACTATGGGTTGAAGTGTGCTTCCACTTGAAAGCCCTAAACCCTAAGCCCTAAACAAAGCACAACCCCTAACCACCCCCCCCTTAAATCTCTAACCCTAAACCCGAAATCTGTAATTATGAACCCTAAACCCTAAACACTCACTCTCTAACCCCAAAGGCCCCCAAGCTCTTCCATCAATCCTTCGAAACCGCTAAGCGCCCAATACGAGATCCACATTTCACGAGACTTCGGGTCGAGCGCAACCGCGACAAGTTTCTGAGCTCTAAACTCCACCAGCCCTAAATAACAAACCCTAAACCCTAAACCCTATACCCTAACCCTGTGAACCCTATAACCCCGAAGACAACTTAGATGATGAGCCCTAACGATCAGCAAGACCGAGCAAAGGGCCCAGCACCCGGAGAGCTTGCTACTGGGGCCTTTATGATGATAAGAATGGGCTTTGGGGTTGTATTATGCTATACTGCTGCTGTAACTGTAACTATAGTAAGGAAGCCCCAAAATTAGGACACCCCCAAAATAGTATTTGTAATCATTTAGGGCCCCTTGTTTTGCCATCCCAAACTTCAACTTTCAACTATTGGAACTCTTTGGGCCCTAAACCCTAAACCCTAAACCCTAAACCCTAAACCCTTATATTATGCTTCGCATCTCCGTCCCCCCTTTGCTTTGCTGTGCCCATGGCCCGTAGTCGTTAGAGCTCCGAGGCTGGTTGCTCTTGGCTTTGGGAGTTAGGGTGTAGGGTTTAGGGTGTAGGGTTTAGGGTTTAGGGTTTAGGGTTTAGGGTTTAGGATTTAGGGTTTAGGGGTTAGGGTTTAGGGTAGGTGGTTTCTAGGGTTTTATAGGGGGGGTTATAAGGGCTTTATACAAGTTCAGACTGGGTGCTTATGAGGGTCCTGGGATTTCTAGGGTTTTCTAGGGACGTTAAAGGGTCTTGTAGGGTGTTCGCAATGGTTTTCTAAAGGCTTCACAAGGGGCTCACAGGGGCTGTTGGAGGGTGTTTATAGGGCTTGAGATTGTGGTCTCGGAGGATGTGAAGTAGTACAAAGGTCTGATTTGTTAATTGGAATCAGGTCTTTTCAAGTTCCTGATCCCGAACTAAGCCCAGTAAGAAACTAGCCTTAATAATTACCTATGTTATTCTAGTGTTCCTCATTATAATTACAGTAGAGTGGGCCCCAGAACCCTATTCTAAGTATTAAGGCCCCTATATTAACAAACCCTAAACCCTAAACCCAAACCCAAAGCTGGAGACTCAAATCCCGAAAGCCCTAAACCCTAAACCCTAAAAACAACCCAAGAGAAGGAAGCTCCTCTCCTCGGACGTTTCTGTCAGTCTTCAATTTTTTGTCTGGCTCGTGGATGCACGCGGTGTCTTGCCAAGCTGCCGGGTTCTACAATATAGGGCATTAATAATGTTCGAATAGGGTTTGAGGTATACTATACTATAGATATAATAAGGAACCCCCAAAACCCTATTCTAATCATTGAGGCCCCTACATTACTTCCACGCTTGAGGGGACAGCGCAAACCTAAACCTTTGAGGAGTACTTTGACGAAAGCGGCTTCGTCTGCAGAGCCATGCGCTTGCGCAACACATCTGCAGTGACATTCGGCTCTTCAGCAGCATCTCAGAATGCTTCACACCACGAAGTGGTGGAAGTGAAGTGAATCTCCAATCCTATGTTGGCCCACCACTACAACTACCAGTTGGAAAGCCGCGCTAAAAAGGCTCTGGCCACGGATTTTGCGATTTGCGCACGTGCAGCGGGTCTGGATGGAATAGGACAGACAGCGCGCGCCCACCGGTACAAAAACTAGCACCACGTTCATCATTATCGTTTTGAAAATCATGTTCACCATTAGTAAAGAGGGCCATTGTATGACCTTCCGCAAACCGCATCATCCCCAGCGGCATCCACATCATCATCATCAGCAGCAGCATCATCATCATCATCATCGTCACCGCCATCCTCATCACCCTCACCATCACCATCATCATCATCATTGTCACAATCAGCATCATCGTCATCGTCATCCTCCTCATCATCATCATCACCATCATCCGCAAAGGACCCCCTGACTGATTCCATTCGTCATGCGATCCATTGCGGGCTTTTGCGCCCCAGCATAGATGAACGCAATCATTGAGTATTGGCAATCGCGGTCTTTCAGGGCAATCGAATGTGCCTTTGCGCACTGTGCTGAGCTCGAAGCTTTGCCTGCAGCGTAGCCCAGACAGATCAGCTTCCGTGCCAGCCACGCCATGCTTCAGCTTGTGACGCTTGTGGCCCTGAGCCTGCTTGCAGTTGCTGCAGAAGCAGATGAAGTGTGCGAGAGCACTTTGCTCCAGGCACACCGCGGTCGCCTTGAAGAAGCCTCACCGTCGCCAGGAATCACCATCAACAGCACAGAGGCCGAGGCTGTGACCAGCTGTCCAGAAGGGGCAGACTGTACAGCCGCTGGGAATGGGGGCTGCTGGTTTGGCAGATGGAGACATGCTAGAGACTACCAATGTGTCTATGTGTACCGGCTACACTACAATGCGGTAGAGGTCTTCTACTGTCACGATTGCAAGGTGATCAGGTGCGGCTTCAGTCCAAGAGCAATGTGCTGGAACTTCCATGCGCCTGATCCATGCGCATCCACCCCTGTCACCACCACATCGATGACCAGCAGCGCAGCGACCACCACCATAGTGACGACCGCCGCAGGGACAACCATTACCACAACCACCATCCCTACCACGACGACCATCAGGACGTCCACAACCACCACCACCGCCTCGGCCAGCACCACCACCACGAACGCTGCCTCGCCCACCACCACCACTACCACAACGCCACCAGTCGTCATGCTTTGGAAGACGTCGTGGGAATATATACCAGGCCATGACGTCGCGGGTTGCTTGGCGCTGCGGGGCTCGAATGTGGTAGGGGCAAACTGTTGGGTCGACCCGGATTGCTGCAGCGACAACGAGCTCTGGGAGTTCACAGAAGAAGGCCAGATCGTCGAATTCGCGACCCGACTTTGCCTGACAGCAGTTGAGGCTGAATTGACTGCTTCTGAAGCCCACATGAAAACCATGGTCAAGACGTGTGATGCGGGAGACCCTATGCAGAGGTTCGTGACAAACAGCGAGAGCTTCAAGCTTCAACTCGAAGGGGACCGCAGCTTGTGCTTGGACTGGGATGCTCGCGGTGGCGTTGAGGGGTCTGAGAAGTACCCTGTTTATATGCGTGAATGCAACAACACGCATACCCAAAGGTGGCTCAGTGTGCTCAAAGTTGCAAAGCTTCGGACCAGCTTCACAGATGGCGAAGAGAGTTGCCTCTCTTTCGACAACATCAACGTGGAGGGTGGTGCCTGCAGCCAGGCACCAGTATGGAATTGGCGGTTCTCGACAAACCAGTTGTGGACCAAGTTCTCGGATGATATCCCTGAGCTCTGCCTCATGCGAATTGACTTCGTGCTCTCGATACAAGATGTGGTGCTCGCCCCATGTGACAGCACAAAGCTAGAGCAGAAGTTTACGATACTTGCAGAGAGGACCATCCGTTTGCTTGAAGATGATCGCCGCCCCGGACTGTTACTTTGTTTGGATTGGGACGTGGAGGCCCGCTACGACCCGAAGGACAGCATTCGGTCCGAGGTGCCCCCCTTAAACACCACCCGGTAAACCTTGGTTCAATTAAGCCGATGCTCTGCAGGACAACGTCTACATGTACTATTGCAATGATCAGCTCAACCAGCTATGGCTGCCCATTGCTCCCTGAGTGCACCATCCGTTTGGAGGTAGGTGAACTGCGAGCCGGTGAACTTACCTTCCTCCTTGTCTGGGACTCTGGAAACCCACATGGGTAGTTCTCTAAAATTAGGGCCCCTTGTTAGGTCCCCATTAGTACGGCACCCTTATAAAGGGGACCCTAAAAGGGACCCTAATTTAGAGAACAGCCCACATACCTGCGAATATTTCCAGGAGGCCATTGATGTTTGCAGGCCAGCTTCACTCATCGAGTGATTCCAAAGAAGTGCCCGCATGTCAACAAAGTTCACACATGCCGAAGTTCTTGCCGACCGAACCAGCATCAGTAGCCTGGGGTGTCTTGTGATCTTTGCTTCGAGTCTTGCCCGCAATTTGCCGTAAACATCCCTAAACCCAAGCCCTCAACCCTAAACCCTAAACCCTAAACCCTAACCCTAAACCCTAAACCCTAAACCCTAAACCCTAAACCCTGTGGCCAACACGAACGTGAAGAGGGTGAGTGGATGGCTGATGCAACGGAGGGTTGAGCCCACTATGTCATCGTGATCGAGAATGTTGTGGTCCTGAGGGTTGGTTTTCTCACCTGCCTCCGGGGGCTTTCCGACCGCTAACTGCAGGAGGAAAAAGGTGTTCAAAAAAAAACCCTAAACCCTAACCCTAAACCCTACACCCTAAAACCTCAACGGTTGGTCTTTCGGAGAAGGCTGTCACTCCAAGGTTTCTTGTTCGGGTTGGAACGTACTATAGGGGGCCGAAATAATTTCCTATACTTTGTTTTTGTTTTTTTTGGGGTCCTTATTATCACTACATGGCACAGGAAACCCCAAAACTCTATTCTAATTACTGCAGCTGAGTGTGTTCCATGGTGTTTTTCTTTTGGCATGACTTGCATGTTTGATTGATTCAGTGCAGGTTTTTTTTCGGGTAGAACCTGTGACGGCATGATTCTCACGCTTGTTATCACACAAATAATTCGAAAGCATCATCGGGAGTGGCAGCGACTGCAGCATTTTCAGCTACGTCACTTCAGCCACTGTTTGCCTCACAGTCCTGATCGTCCTGCTCCACCACCTCCTCCTCCTCAGTGCCATAGAAGCATCGGAATCACCATGGTCACACCACCTATCACCATCAGCAGTATCACCATCATCGCCAGCCCTGTTTCTCAGCATCGTAGCAGATGCACCAGAGGGTCTACGTTTGCCGCTCAGACATGACATGAAGGGCCTTGGTCTACTCGGGCTTTGCATTCGGAAGCTTTGCTCAAGGTAGCCCCGGAGGTGCGGATCGAATAGGAAACAGTCGCGATGAGCGTCATCACCACGACCGGTGCCATTGTCGGCGACACGCCAGATCTGCTCAAGCCATTGTCGACGTCTTTCGAGGCATGCAAGCAAGCCTTGGACATGTAGTCAGAGTGCAGGGCTCGGGGCTCAATTCTGAAAGCTGGAGTCCAAGTATTCCGGCTTCCAAGTGGGCAGGCGCAACATAGCTGCGCGTTCCGCAACAGCAACGCGGCGCACAAGCGCAATGACACCGAAAACAGCAAGTCGTCGTTGTCCTCGTCATCGTCGTCGTCGTGGTCTCGTCGGTGAGATTGGTGCCAGCATCCTGCTGCTTCTGGAGTCTCGCTGTCCCGGCCAAGTCCCTTTTCAAAGTTCCTTTTCAGGTCCCACAGACATCCAGTGCTGAATTAACAACAGATATTCCGTGCTGCCGTGCTGCTCTCACAAGATCGAAACCCCTACAAACTTCACACAACCCACACAATTCTGCAGGAGATCCGCAGCACGATCACGAAGGCAGGTTCATGAGTCAGACGGGTTCCATGTGTTTCGTCCCCGAAGATGACCTACACTAGGGTTTGGGCCTATGCCGGAGTCTCGGTTTGAGCACCGAGGGTAAGTTGACAAAAGGATACATGCCATCCAGGGTTCCCCACAGGGACCAAGATGCTTTTCCGGGCTGACCATGTCCTTGTGGCATGGGTGTCAGAAAGCAGCTAAGCCATCATGCCATCCGATTCAGATCGTCGATATTTCCTGCGATCCTGAATATTTTGAACACTTACGCTGAAGGTCTGGGTTTCTTCCGGCATTCCGCAAGTAGCTGCCACTCAAGCATTACAGACGTGTGCACCCAACCTCCCTGGCATTCACCGAAGTTGTGGGCTGTTCATGGCAGTGTTCGTACTTTCCGTTTTCGAACATGTACTCTGTTGCTGTCCAAATTATTTCTTCCTAAACTCGTGTTCAAGCTGTTTGTCCATCGCCAGGAGCTCGTTGCTGATCCAGCGCCAGACGTGTCGTGCGAACAGATCGCCAGCACCACGTGCCTCAGATTAGTTGGGCCCTAAACCCTAAACCCTAAACCCTAAACCCTAAACCCTAAACTTAGGGGATGGCGGTTCTGCAATAATCAGATACTGGGGCGGATCACCACGAACACACGTCAGGGCTTGCCACACTGTATGACATATTGGATCCCTTGTTGGGCGTCCTTCATATCGATCTTGCTGCCTCGGACCTAGGGCTTGTTGCTAGGGTTGCCTCCCAATTCCAGTACATCGTTCGACAATCGGGCAGGTTGCCGGTCTGAATTTTGTACACGTTCCTGAGCCAGGGATCTTCGGGTCTGAGCCGCCGTGAGCAGTAAGCTCGAAACTTTGAGGATGAATCTCGCAGGCATCCGATGCAAGATTCAGGGTAGCTGGCAGGAAAAAGAATGTAAAGAGGAGCCTTCGCCTAATCCTAAATCTATAAGCCCATAATCCGCACCCCTAAACCGTATGCACCCTCATTCAATTTAACATACGACTCCTTGAAACCTTAGAAGCTCTGAGCCCCACTTGTTTAGGCCTTTGCTCAAGCGAGACTCAGGGAATGGCTGCGCTCCATCATTGCTGCGATGACGGAGCATAACTCGGGTTTCTCACGGCTCCTTGGCGACAGTCTTTAGATGCCGGTTCCCAGATTCGAGAGCCCTTGCTGCGTCCAAGCTTGAGAGGGCGAAGAAGACGATCGCACCACCTCAAGAAAACCTAAACCCTAAACCCTAAACCCTAAACCCTAAACCCTAAACCCTAAACCCTAAACCCAAATCAAATGTTAGCTAAACCCGAAACACTAAGCCGGAAGACCCATAAAGCCTCCAAGCTCGGTCTTCAGCTTCCAAGGCTTGGAGTGTCCCAGCTTGGCGACGAGGAGCTGCAACGCAACCAGGCCCAGCCCAACCCAAGGAAACCCAATAGCAAGAATCTTACCTAGGTGAATTATGATGATTAAGACGCTTGAGAAGGTTTAGGCGATGTTCCTGAAACCTTTTTATTAAATTGCATTCAGGATCCTCACAAGATGCAAGCTATGCGGCACACTTCTCAATCCTGGGTTTTGGCGGGTTTCTGGGTTTTCATCACCTAACAGGCTTAGGGTCAGGGTTCAGGCTCTAGGTTCTATCATGGGGTGTCAGGCTTCAAGTGTTGGGTCTTCTGTACGGTTAGGGTTTGAAGGTTTGCTGTTTAAGGCTCCGGGATACAGGAGCTAGAATAGCTCCCCTGAACGAAACGAGATGCACATGTTTCAAGTCGTCTCATTCTCGGTGTTCAACCACTCTTCCTGTGCAATAACATGAGATCTCCAACTTCAGCGGTTTCTTCAACTGACCCAAAAAAATGAACAACCTTCTCCAAACATTCGGATCCCCAGAGCTTTTGTAATCTGCACCCAACTCGCAAATGTGTTTTCAACGAAGAGCAAGGAAGCCAATCAGCACAGCGACATTTTCTTTAACAGCTACAAACACGCAAAACAACTCTGCAAAACAGACTGAGTAAAATAGATCCCCTAAACCCTAAACCCTGAACACTTAAGCAGGCCTTGGCTAGAGAGGCCTCCAGGCAGCTGACGGTGCTCTTAGCTGAGACTCGGATTGTGCTTTTTGGTTGGCAGGGAGGGCGGGGGTGGGTGTTCAGGGCATATACTTATAGCTCCAGAGTATAGCAGGGTTTCTGCGATTCTGCAATGGATTTGTGCGCAAAGCCCGCAAGCACAAGCACGTGAGAGAGATCTCGGTGCTCCATGAATACACTGATTCCGCGTAGGGTCGGGGGCTCACGGTACAGGCTAGATGCAAGGAACAAAGGTAGGAACCTATAGCTTGTAACCTGATTTTCAGGTTGAGTATGCCAATGAGACAAGGCGGCTTTGGGCCTGAGTAGCCTCTATGAGCAGACGATGGACTCCGGAGCTTGCGGTTCCTGCTGCCCCGAAACCCAGAATATGAGCTTCGCAGTGCTGTCTTAGCTGTTTAGTCTCAGTGTTCTGCAGTGCGAACTCGCTCATTGTGAAAAAGTGGCATTTGAATGCGTTTTGAAATGCATTGTATCAACACGTACAGGTGTCTTCACTTTTGGAACGCCAGGAGTCAGGAACAAGATTCATCTTGAGTCAGACCAGACGGCTCTAACGTGTACCACATCCAGACTTTCCATCCCGCAGTCAGCTAAGATTTCTTGAGAGCGCCCTGATTCAGGAGAACACAAAGCAGTTCCGAGCAGTTCCCATGGGCGCCATGATGGCATTTGGTGAAGGGAGCCAGAGCCAAGAGGTCCGCCAGAACTTGGCCGCGTGGATGTGGAATAGCTTTTGAGAGATTCCATTTGCAGATGCAGACTACATTTTTGTGTTCCTTCTTGATTGGGCCCGTGACAGACTTCCCCCGTTTTGCTCCAGATCCCAGGCCACTTTCCGCCAGTTTTGGGAGAAGTTCGGGGATGCAAAGTGGCTTTCTGGCCTGGTGGCCCCGGAGTTTGCAGAAAAGAAGGAGCTGGCCAAGAAGTTGCTCGACACTTTGCAGGCTACGACAACGGCGATGTTGCCGAACGTTGGCGCCGTATGCAAGTTTTGCAAGTGCCATCGGGGCAATTCGACATATTGTCAGAACCCAGATTGTGGCAGGTGCCCATGCGGCTCGCTGCAATGCAACTACCCATGCGGAGGAGTGTCTCCTTACAAGTGCAACTATTGCAACAGTTTACGACGTCGGGAAGAGTTTTGCTCAAATACAAATTGTGCACGCTGCGCGCACGGCCACTTCAGGAGCCGGGGCTGCTTGAAGGGCTGCTCCGACCACAGCATTGCGTTGAGCAGATGTTTTCTTCTGTTTGGTTGTATAGTTTGTGCCTGAATGTGACCACCGCTGGCATAAGTTTCCACGTAATGCTGCAGATGGCTACCAACCATGATTTGGTCTTGTCGTGGGAGACACATAAGGCCGAAAATTGCATGTCTTACACAGTAAACCCCAATCCTAGCCTTGGCTGAGGAAGTTGGCTCCACCAACATAAAGTTGCAGCCAAAGAGCGTAAGCTTGTACGACAAGATCACTGCCTGCAGTGAGGCATTGGGGGGTTTATCGAGAGCATCCAGTTGGCTGGACTTGCGGCGCCTGGGTTTGGGGTTTGACTCTGCAGCAAATCCTCGCAGACAAGAAGATGACGTTGGCAATCGTCTACTTGCAAATGAAAGTACGAGCACCCTAGGGCTGCTCTAAATATCGCGACGAATGAATTGGCGACTATGCTACTAGTGACAGGTCCTGTCCAACTGATATTAGTTTGTGTCTGGTCTTCACTGCATCACCTGATCCCCGGACCCAAATTGGACCGTCAATTCGTCAATCAACTGAGCTGCAAACCCCGATGTTGAAAGAACGCAGCTCCATAAAAGGCGGCCGTTGGCTTGAGATGTCTTTCGGTTTCTGTGCGAGTGAACCTTGCTCAGGGCTAAGGTCATGGACATAGCAGTGGAAACGAGTGTTTCAGGACACAGGCACTTCGCTGCTGAAGTTTTGGTCTGCAGGTACTAGCTGCAGATGTCGGGTCTAGAGCCGCGTAGGTGGATTTCCTTTTCAGTAGAGTCTCTCATGCTGTCAGCAAAGCTGTCTCTGGCCCAATCTCGCTTCACTACACTGCGTCTATCGATCCCGTGCCTTCATGCCCGAAGCACCGGCGCGAGAGCATCCCAACCGAACCCGTTGAGGCAACAAGCCTAGCTTGTTTCGTCTAAGTGGTTTCGAAACCACAGAAGTCAATCACCCTCTCATGAAGATCGCTCCAGGAGACGAGCAAGTCCAAGCTTCTGCACCTGGCACAGCCGCTTGAGTGCAAGGTTTGATGTTTGCCTTGCTGGCTCCTACACACCACCGACTGCTTCTGCCCAAGTCCAGGAACGAGCGGTAGTTTAGGGGTTCGCGTTGACTTTAGCAGAAATAGTCTTCTGGTTTCTGCCAAGGTTTCAGTCTTGCTGTGTAAACCTAGACCATCACACCGGGAGTTTTAAGCAGCAGATTCCAGCCGCAATGCGGAATCCCTGTCCTGGAGCTGGCGGGATGGCTTTAAAGATGATGATGGTTTGTGTGTTCCAACGGTTCGCTCTGATCGGGCCTCCGGAGGATCTGTGCTAAACCTTGCTACTGCCTTGTCTCCTCTGCAGCTATACCTCTAGAAAGCCTGAGCCCTCTACCTCCCGCAACCTTTCGCCCGAAAGTGAAATCCCCTACCCTAGATGATCCACCCTGAACCCTAAACCCTTCTCCGTGACGAAATCTGTGAGGATGGCCGACCTGTTGGCCAAGGCTTGCCGCAAGGATGCTGAGGCGAAGTGGTCTGCCAATCCTGTAGCTTAAAATGAACCGTTTTAGATTCAGGGTTCTGTTTTCGTTCTGCTTCTCGGCTTAGGATTTTGCGGTTCGGGCTGGTGATGTAAGGATTTCTGAGGAAGGTTCCGGGTTCCATGGGTTAGGGCTAGCCGTCATCCTGCCTGCATGACCAGCGGTAGCAGTGCTCTATATGTTGTTTTCCAGAGCAGCACAATGGCTGTAGAGGTGTGAACTCTGGTGGCTGCTTTCGCTACTGATCTCAGTTGCCCGGGCGCATGCACGGTGTGTGGGTTTAGGGTTTAGGGTTTAGGGTTTAGAGTTTAGGGTTTAGGGTTTAGCCAACATTGTTCGATCGAGCACCGTACCGTCCGAGGCTTCGGATTTACGGTCGAGCTTCCACTGCGCAGGGGCTTGCGCTCGATAAAAACCTTTGTTCGGTGTGTCTCTGGGCGTTAGAAGCGGTTTTGAGCCCCAAGTCCTGGATATCTAAAAACCTGAACCGGAATCCCGAATCTTCTAAATCCTAAGATCCAACTGCCAAAGCCGTGCAGTTGCAAGAGCCAACGAGCCCCGCGGGTGACTCCGCGATTTTCAGAATGCAACTCCAGAGGCAATGGAAGCTGCGGAGAAGAAGCTTCAACAAAAAATGGATTTGTTGAAGGATGCTGGGCAGCGGACCTTATAAATGAGATTTACTTGTTCTAGCCGTTTGCGGTTCAGGCTTCAAGGTGTCGGGCTTCATGATTGGAGTTTGAAACTTAAGGGTGATGGAGTGTGCGTTTGAATGTGCTGTGGCTCCTGTCTGTCTGGTTCGTTCTCTTCGGACTGATCCGAAACAGACTGAACGATTCGGCACAAACACCACTCGAGAATCCTGAGCGCCCCTAAACCCTAAACCCTAAACAGGTTTACAAGTTGATGCTTGATTGAAGGCGCTTAACTCTGGCTTTCGGTCCGCTTCAGGCCTCTGGTTTGGCAAACGCCGCTCAACATCGGTAGTATAGAAGCCTGAATAATTACCAAAATTATTGTGGGGGTTCCTTATTGCAAGAAGAGTATAATGTACCCCACAACCCTCTTCTAATTATTAAAGCCTCAGTATGTGAAGTTGTGACCAAGTCTTACGTCCCATGCCTTGTGGACCTGCCAGGTCTCAAATCCTGGAACTGGGGCCTTGAACCCCGAACCCTGCCCTAAACCCTAAACCGTAAACCCGACCGACACCCCTCAGCAAAATACTGGCCCAACACCCATACAAAGCTAAGATTCTACAAGCGTTTGGGGTCCAGGTAGTCACGTCCTGCTTCAAAAGCTCCACAAGCCTTTCTGGAAGGACTTCGCCGAAGCCGTCAACGACGTTCCAAAGGCTGGACACAAAGGTTACAGACAGATTGAAGCTGTTTTCAGGTGCGCCTTGCTGTTGTATAGCTTGGATGATACGAGGATTTGGTAATGAGATGTCAGGATCGGTGAGGACTGCAGTTTAGGGGCAGCTCTCTGTGTAAGTTCAGTTGAATGCTCGCCGGGCTTAGTGCATGGCTTTTGCAGCAATTCTTCTCTTGAAAGTACACCTGCACCTCATTCAGGCCTAGGTGCCGAGAACACCGAAGCCCCAACTCAACTTGATCCCGACAGCTGAGTCGACAAAGCCTTGAGCCTCTGAAGCTGAAGACCCACCCTCACCGCACAGGTGCTCCGCCAGTTCCTGCTGATTCGGAGCGGGTCGATCAAAGATGACCTTGGGCAGCTGAAGGAGTGGCTGCACAAGGCCAGCATTTCTTTGTGGCGTGGGGTTCAGAGTTTGGGGTTGGCTTGATAGCTTCAGGTTAGGGCTCCCCAGGCTCTGGAAAGGAGCATGACAGAAATTGTTACGTTTTAGAGTTTAGGGGTTTAGGGTTTTGTCGGATGTGATTCGCTTCCTTTAGCATTCAGGGTCCTTGGGCTGCGTCGGTTCAGCATCGAGTTCTTTCTATCGAAGGGGCCTTAAATGATTAGAATAGGGTCTTGGGGGCTCCTTAACACAATTATAATATAATATACCCCCGGCCCCAAACCCTGGTCTAATTATTACGGCCATTATTTGTTTCGGATTTTGGATACATCGTTCCCGGCCGAACGGGCCGAGGGTTCAGTTTCGATTTGCAGATCCAGCAATCCTGAGGCAGCTGAAGTATCAGGGGTGTTGATCCAAGCGAAGTACGCCTGGCTCGAAGCCTCAAGCACTTCGGGTTTCGGTGTGGGAATTCAAAGCACCGGCTGTGGAAATGTTCATCAGTTCTAGGGTGTTTGAGTTTAAGGCCTGGGGTTTCAGAGCTCAGGCGCTTGTAGCTTTGGTTTTACCAGGCTTTTCGAGTGTAGAGCCTGACCTCAGAAGCGTTCTCACGTCCGGCTACTTGGAGGTTCATGGGTAGTTATAACTGGGATTATAAGTGGGGTAACTCTACTTATAACCCAGATTAGGGGACTTATAGCCCCACTTGTAACTACCCATGAACCTCCAAGTAATGCTGTCTTGACAGGATGAGGTGGACTCCGCCCACATGCAACTGGAGGCCACGATGAGACTTCTACAGGGGCTTTACAGGGGTGCTTTTGGGGTTGTATATGGGGATGGGCGGCGGGTCTCAACTCTTAGCTATTTGCTGATTATCCTGTTGTTTGCGTGTCCTGCTATTCGTACCTCTTACCTGTATAGTGACTATGGTGGTTACACCAACTCGGGGTGTTTGAACATTCCAAGTTAAAGCTTCAGATTCGAGCAATCGGGGCTAGTATGCTGGGTTGAACAATCGAGCTGCCACCTGGAGCTTTCCAAATCTGTCCGTGTCGAACGCTAAACCGCAAGAAACCATTGAACTTCAAACCCAGAATCGATCGATGTTTGTCTCTTGAAAGACACTGCTTCTGCAAGCATTTCGGGAGTTTCTAGTAGCATAATGCTCTTCCTTTAGGACTGTTTGTAGTAAGCTCATGATGGTCTTTATCGGCACTTGGTATCCGAAGATTAGCTGGCAGGAGTTCCGCGATGAAGCCGCAGAGGACTGGACGCCAACACTCCCTCAGCTGCACTCCGGGAGCCCCGTGATAAGAACAAAACCTATCTTATCAGACGGCGCTTCACTCACTTAACGTTCAGAACCTCTGCTTGGAGGTTCATGGGTAGTTATAAGTGGGATTATAAGTCCCCTAATATGGGTTATAAGTATAGTTACCCTACTTATGACCCCAATTATAACTACCCATGAACCTCCAAGTGGTCGAGGTCACGGAGAAGTCCACCCTGCTAGTCTCCAACTTTCTTTTAGCAGGAGCGCGTCATGCGCCGCGTCGGTCAGAAGCGCGCGCTGTCGGAAGGCGGGCGTCCTGAAGTGAGTATCGGCTAAGAGTTTGCTTGGCTTTGAAACGTGTTGGTTGGGCTAGCAAAGAGCAGGGGATTAGGATCTGCCCCCCCCCCCCGGGCATGCAAAAGAAGCATGTGAGCGCCCATTCCCCGATCCGTCTGGGGCTTGAGACTAAACCCTAAACCCTAAACCCTTAAACCGTGGCTTGAGACTTCTGGCTTTCGTTCTTGGGTGTCGGTCGAGGTCCTCGGGCCCCGTATCGCAGGCTCATGGTCGTTGGCGTCGCCGCGCTGATGGTGATGCTCCCGTCGGATCGCAGATAGGGCTTCGGAATTGAGATCAAGTTCCCAGAGAGCCCCTTGCCCCAAACAAGGGTACACTTAGAGTCAGAATAAGAAGCCCGATAGGTGTATTAAGTCAACTGGATCTGGGATCTTGCGCGGCTGTGTTCAGCAAGCCAGCCCAGAGGCTACGGCCCGAAGGTGGCGCTTGTTCGAGTTCGATTCCGAAGCCTCCACTGTGGGTCTCTGTTGAGGAGCCTAATTGAAGACACCACACCGTGGAAAATTCGGTGTAGACCCTGAATTCGGACAAGATCCTCCACGGAAATCCAGTAATTCGAGCCCCCTCCGGGGCACCTGTCACACCCCCCAACGCGCAAGAGCCGCTGTGGTAGGGAGGTGGGAGTTCTGCAGAGCTGTTTCCGAACTGCAGCAACACCACATGGCTGTTAGGGTTTAGGGTTTAGGACCTAAACCCTAAACTCTAAACCCTAAAGGGTTTAGGGCGGCCATGGTGCTTCTGCATCTGCTCATCAGACTCTGAGACCGTCCATATAAACGCAGCTGGAGTTTCAGAAGAAACGAGGAACCTCAATACCTGAGGCCCCAACTCTTTAGCTCTGATCTTCAACAGCCAGGCCAGAACCTCACCTTGCGTGGCACTGGAGTTCAGGGTTTGGGTTTGGGGTATTGTTTAGGGTTTAGGGATTGGGGGTTTAGGGTTTAGGGGAGAAGCCCCACAGCCGCAGGATCCTTCTGAAGACTCCATCTCCTATTCTCTGAAAACCAGCTGCTGATTTAAAACACAGTTGTTCAAGCTTAGATGGCATGTCATTTCAGACTGCCAGCATACGTATTCGCCTACATTCTTGCTCGCCTTCGTGCCTTGACCTGACTGACTCGCCGGATGCAGCAAGAAGTGCTCGAGACTTTCAAAAAGAGATCTCCGAAGACAGCCTGTCTGAGAGTTTGAAGTTTAATTCGGGGCGTTGAGTTTAGGCTTTGGGGGTATTAGAGCAGGGTTAGTATGAGGCTCCCCAAAAGCTGTAACCCTTACCCCCGAAACCCCCAGCTCCAAAGTCTGCGGATCCTGAAGTATCCCTGCGACCACCCGCAGGCGGCCCCAGGTGAATCTCAACAGCTTCAGCCTAATGTAGCGGCCTAAATTATCATTACCTATACTATTGTGGGGGTTCCTCATTATAAATATAGTATAATAGTCCCCCAAACCCTGTTCTAATTATTGAGGCCCCTACATTATAGAACCCTATTATAGATCCCTTACAGAACCCTTATCATTATAGTATAACGGGCCCCTAAACCCTTACTTATAGTAGCCCCTATAGCACCCTTTAAGGATCCCTTGAAAGGAACCCTATTCTAATTATTGAGGCCCCTCTGTTAGAACTCGAAGCCCTCGCAGTCCCAAACTTCGAAAACCCCTCAGGCACCAAAGCCCCTCAAATTAAAGGAAAATACGGTTGAGCGCTGAGGCCCCAACTCTTTAACTCTGATCTTCAACAGCCAGGCCAGA